GTATGACGGCTATATTCCGACAATAGAAGAGTATATGGAAGTCGCCCTTGTATCTTGCGCTTACATGATGCTATCTACAGCTTCTTTGGTCGGTATGGGAGATCTTGCAACTGAGGAAGCCTTTGACTGGATTTCAAGCGAACCATTAATCGTACGTGCTACATCAACAATTTGTAGACTAATGGACGACATGGTCGGACAAGGGGTAAGACGTTTGAAGTACTAAATAACTTATTTCTTATTATACACAAGTGTCATCACATTTGGTCGAGTTGTTTGTACTTGAGTGGAGATAATTGTGAAAATTGTAATTGCCTGTTTAATAATGAAGTTTGAATTCTTAAACTGACTTGTTTATAATATAATAACTGACTATTTTTTCCATAGCTGGTCTAGGCCCGAATAAAAAATTAGGGTTCCGGCGCCGGGTAGTCAATAAAAATCATGTTATGACTTTATGACAAATCTTAATACTCATTTCTTTCTTGTTGTAGTTTGAGCAGAAAATATCAGTAGTCGAATGTTACATCAATGAAAAAGGGGTTTCAGAAGAAGAGGCATTTGCTGTATTTCAGAAACAAATTACGAATGCATGGAAGGATATAAATCAAGAATTGCTTCAAAAAACTGCAATACCAATGGTCATCCTCGTGCGAGTAGTCAATCTTGCAAGCATCATGAATCTTCTGTACAAAGATATTGATGCATATACTCATGTCGAAAAGTCTCTTTTAAAAGATTTCATAAATTTGGTGCTAGTTCAACCTATGACAATGCCATCATAATTGATAAACATGATAGTAAAGTTGTTGGTTGTATGTTTTTGTAATAAAATACCATCTCATCTGTTTATCTGATTTGATGGTGTTGGTAGTATTCATTTTAATATGTCGGATTATATAACGCATCGTGTAGACGAATTCTTAAACTTTATTTGTTTTCCCATGTTATCTTGTTCTAGATTAACTTGAGCAAGACTCATCACACCAATCGCCTTTTTAGTAAATTAAATTAGTATGAATTGTTGTCTATCATATTATCCACTTCTATTTATGATTAATCTGTAGGCTAACTCGGTCTGCCACAAATGATCAGTCATTTAGAACGGGGGCGGATCCAGGATTGGATCTAAGACCGGGCCTACAAAATTTCAAACCGAGCTAATAAGCGAAAAAAAAAAAAAATTTTATACATGAAAAACTGTTTTAAAGAAAAAAAAAAAAAAACCTTATAAAAAATCTTTTTTTGGGCCTTGAGGGGGGGCTATAGCCCAGCCAAG